TGTATCTCTAGGTACAACATTACAAAAAACAAATATGTGAACGTGCTTTCGCTTCACAAAATTTCACAGATTCTTTTGTAAATAGCAAACAAACATGTTTTAAGACATTTGAATATAGACTCATTAAATTACTAATAATTACACATTTATTTCAGTTTTTATATTACTTACCTTTCAGCAGGTGGGGATTTTTTTTCAACCCCCACCCGTAGTGGGGGTTCATAACATCGACTGACGCCATTGCTTTGTTTAGAAAGTGAGGCTGCGATCCTTTCAGGTTCTCCGTCTGAAGGTTATGTGAGTTGACGGCGTGTTTATATTATTTATAGAGTCGCGGGTGGGTGTTGCCTGTTCGTTGTTTCATTTTCAAAGGGAACTAACATTGCACACATTATCATTATCATTCATCTGACTCTACTGTGGGTATTATCGACACACCTTTAAAATTCAAAGTGAAAGCATTTTTGTGCATTTTTTCAGTTGTTTCCCCACACAAATAATTTCTTAGTAAATGAAAAAGACATGAGTAATAAGAAAGACATTTTCAGTTGTTTAAACAGTGCTTAACAAACAGTGCTTATTATGCCATGTGCCATAAAAAAGAAAACGCAAACCTGTCTCTGCTTCTCAGTATGTCCTCGATGTGCAACCATTTTGAACTGGAGTGAGGAACTTACATTCACTTCATAGTTTTATACCAAAATATGATGCAGCACATTGGACTACTCTGAAAAGCCAGAAATTAATCAAACACAAAATTCAACCACTGAAAACATTCAGTTTAGCAGTTCAGTCAAGCAACTATAATTTGGGGTCTTATGAATAATAATAGTGTTTTACTATTTTTTCTTACTTTTTGTAAAACAGTATCTTAGCAAACAATGACTGAGAACCTTCACAGACATATTGCCCTAAACTTTGGGAGGAACACCCTTCAATTGGTGTGGAAGTATAAAAAGGAATCAAGGAAACTAGCGGATTATAGGAACAATCTCCGCATCAACCTAAGATACAGACAAACTAGAGTCGTTCCCAAGAGTTTGTGCCTTGGATTCATGGTCAGGGGACACAGAGCTGTGTTGATTCTAGGGAGAGCACAAAACAACTTCTAAGTGAAAGGATAAGACAGGTCCATTTCACTGTTGATGCCCTCCGGACCAAATTAGCCAGACTCTGCAGGAAGTGAAAACACTTCTACCCTCCCCTATCTTGTAAACAAGGCTCAGCA